AGAGTTAGTTGCAGTTAATTATATTTTAGCCTTTTCACAAATAATTTCTAGGAATAATGAAGAATATTAGTATAGTATATAAAATGTGTGTATGACATTGACCAATCAGAACTTACCTTTTTATTCAGTTTGGATAAAGCGGAAGTAAGGCAGTCTAACGAAATTCTTAGGCACTTGGGGGTATAAAAACATCTTATTCTTCGAAGGGACGGTATTGAAGCGGAACGAAACAGTAAATATATTTAAAGTAAGTTATATCTGAACGATTAATCGCGTCAAGTTTTCTGAGAAAGGCCTACAATACCCCAAACCCGAATTTGCCTCAAAAAGAGTGTCCTACCCTTCTTTTTTTATACATACACATACTATATATTTACATTAACTTCCAGTGCCCGTAGATTGAATTAGGTTTCACATCTGACCTTAATTTTGACAGGCATAAAATATTGTGGCAAGGTCGAAGAGGAATGCGCTGTAATGGTGTCTTTAAACTTTTAAAACATTTACTTACGTTCATTGATCCACCAAAATTTTTGGTACATGTATTACATTGTGGAGCAAACGACCTTGGCCGTATAAAGACCATTGAATTAATAGTTGCGATAAAACGTGATTTGAAAAAAATCCAAATGATACTTCCGCACACGAAGATAATTTGGTCGCAAATGATAACAAGGATAGCCTGGAAATGTGAAGGGAGACCCGATATCGAAAAAAGTAGGGCGCGAGTGAATAGCGCAATTGCAAAACATGTTTTATATCATCACAATGGAGGGTACATTAAGCAGTCAAATATCCATCATAGTCCCGACAATTACCGCCCCGACGGGGTACACCTCTCTACGCCTGGTAATAAGCTGTTCCTTGAAAATTTTAAAAGTGGACTCACAACTATTATAAACTCCCAAAATAATGTGTATTCATTATGAGCCTGTATCGGTGTGGTCACGGCTGGATATTTGAGTAGGGTGTTAAGCTACCCCCACATTGGTGGCGGCGTGCATAGTTAATGAGTATCTATGCACGTTTGGCGGATTTAGCTTAACACATATCATCTCGACTTGCGCCGCTGTTAACAGGGCGCAACTCGAAGATGATTGCGTGGATAATTCTGGAATGGAATACAAGGAACTTGTATTTTAACATAATTTACATTGAACATTGATTGATTTATTCGAATATTGATTGGCTTAACATGAGCATACAATACATTGATCTGAATGAACTGAATATTGATTTGTTGAATTTTGTTTGAACATTGATTGATCCAATTGAATATTATTGATCGAATTGAACATTCATTGATTGAACTCAACATTAATTGATCGTATTGAACATTGATTGATGAATATTGATTGATGCATAAGGCTGACGCAACTGCAGGAACTTTGAAGCTAAACGTCAGTCTTATCCTGTAAAACTTTGACATGTGTACAGTTAATATTGATTGATTGATTGATTGATTGTTTGTTTGTTTGTTTGCTTGCTTTTATTGGAGGTGTGCCAAAAACCAATTGGGTCGGCACCCACTGTACACGTGTATTTTTCATAAATTGATTTGAACCAGCCGTGGCCATTAAATGCCAAACTTAAGAAATAAATAATTAGGAAACATTAAATTCACTGTTGTTTTTATGTGGAGTCTGTGATAAATAAAAATAACATTGACAAACAGAGTTATGCCAATAAAATAATAGTAAACAAAATACATTTAAAGTAACAAAAAAACGTTTTAATGAGTCTTTAGTATAATACCATACTGCAAAATGTTTAAGAATATTATTTTTGAGAAACCTGTGATGCTGTTTGACACTGATGTTGAGTTTGCTCCGTGCTTTACAATAATTTATTTACATAGAATGAAACTCAAGACACCAAAAAAAAAATAAATATTTTTGCACAAGAAAATGTCCTCAATTTAAAGAATAAAGATAATGCTCCACAGATTGACATGGTTCGTAAACTTTCAGAAGAACTCTCGTACATATCTGATTGATGGCAACTATGCTAAGGGGGATGTACAAGCCATATTGGATCTAGTCTGGTGTGAAATAAGAAATATCAAGAATGCGCTTAATACTCTACTAAACTAACCCAAAGTTACTCAAAGTGCTAATGCACTAATTACCTACTGTTAGAGACCAAAATTAGAAAATAATTAAGTTTATTTTGTTTTAATTAGGAGGAAATTAATCATGTTAGAACTGCGCAGCTACAGCATTCGCGAGATGAAAAATGCATTGAAAATGGTGTTAGTTTGATTCATTCATAATATGGCTACAACCATTTGTTTCGCTTTTTTCTTGTCATTATCCATAATTCTTGAAAATTTGATTTTTCATATGGGTGTCTTCCTGAGACCATGTGTTTATTTCGTCCACCATTCCTCTGTCACACAAGATTCGAATAAATGCGACCATAATAACATCAAAACAACAAATTAATAAGTTATAATCATTAGGTAATATTACTTACTACTTTTATTTGTTGCATCGCTTCGTCTGATTAATGAAAAAACGCGATTTTAACCCCACTCCTGCAAGTCGGGAAAAACTGTTCTGTTTACAGCTCGAGTTTCCTCGTTAATATTATTACACTGAGCACGTGGTTGGCATGTACATATATCTGCTGTGGATCGATGCGTTTATTACCATGATTATATTTAATTTTTCATGGAACAAGTCTTGATAATTTGTTGGTTTCTTTGAAACTGAAGAAAAAAGATAAAAAATGTCCTAAACATATGTGTTTACGTCGGGTCTTTTTTCTGTGGCGATAGAAGTTATTTTGAAATGGGGCACTGCAAGGAGGATGCTTAGCATTTAATTTGAAAATGTTAAACAATATTCGGTGCATGAAAAACAAATTGTAATTACATGTCTTACATTCGAAAAGTTGATACATATGTCTATTTTGTTTAGCAGTTAGATAGAAAAAAAGGCAGTTATAGGATTTCCTTCAGGCACCTCACATAAATAGCTTGATTGTTTGCAATGACCCACACTGGAGTAATGTTTGAACATAAAAACGCATCATGTCTCATTATGTTGACAAAGTTGTAAGCTCTCGCTCATTGAACATACGAAGCTTGATAAAATATATTGAGTTGTTTCTTTGAAATTTATAAGCAAGCACAATGTTTGCAAAGAAAGGTCCATTGCATATGCTATGTCTATCATCGCAAAAAAATGAGAGGCTACCCCCCCCCTCGAAAATCCTTGTGTTCTTTTTTTCAAAATAGTGCCAAAGATTCAAAATTTTGCATTACAAGTATGTGATGGAACATGTACTAGCCTTATAAGATCATTTGTTATAAAAATATTTGGTTGCCCTCTCTCCCGATCTACTGCTTAGAAATGGCCCGACTCAATTTTATTTTACATCCAATTACACGATTTTTTTTTCTTCCGTCAACAAATATGTTCAAATTTTAAGGAAATTTTTTCCCTCACCTATAAATACGGACCCAATAATTTTTCCTACAGTTGGGAGGACCACCAAACGTCATTTTAAAGATGGTATAAAATATTTAATTAAGTTGATTTTTTTTCTTTACTCTGTAAAATTGTAATTTTGACAAAATGGGCAAATAGAAAAAAAAGTTTTTTTTATTCATTAAATCTCCTAACCCACTCTGAATGATTTTATTCCTTTTCAAATGTTGCTCCACTGTAATGAAAATTGTAAATGTTTATTTGACAGAGTATACGGAGGGGGGTGTGTGATCAAAAAGTAAAGGATATCTTAGGTATTTGATAGTTATATTATTGTTGAAATATTCAAGTATTTTTCAAAGTGTAAATTAGAGATCTTTGATAGCATATTGCTTAATTTAAAACACACCCCTTTTCAAACTTGCTTTCACCGGGCAACATAACAAGTATCATATTCAACCATCTGCCTTCCTTCACTAAAACGATCTATCCAATCAATGATTGAATTATTAGGAAGTCATTTGTCTTAATAAACTATGAACAAATTCTTATACGCTACTTCAAAGGCATTTTTAAGATATACCATAAATATTTTAGTCGTTTGTTGAACGAGTTCCACTGGGACAACCATTGTTCGTCATTTTCACATTGTGAGCAAAACTTTATTCAGCATATGCTATTTATAGAACTTGTGTGTGCACCAAATTTGTTTCTAATCTAAATTGTGGTTTTGTAGATATAGAGATAGTTCGAGAACTTTTTGATCACCCCTCGTACTAGTAGGTACTAACACAAGGTCATTCATATCGATTTTATGTGTTTAATTTCTTTGTGTTTCATTGCTGATAATTAAACTTTTGATAGATATTATAAATTATTTGTGGCAAACTTACAAAGTCTTAATTTTTAACTTTGATGGTACTCATTTTTCCTTACCTGGAATCAAAGAGTTTATATCAATACGTACACTATTTAACAACTGTTCGATAATAATACTAAATAAATTACTTCAAGCCACACTATAACACATTTCCTCTTTTAAAAGTGTTCATATTATTTGAAATATTTTGCAACTGTAATTCTCTTCTACATTTAAAGATTGTTATGTCCTTCCATATTAAGAAGGGGTCTGGAAAACAAAATTCTGTGCTAAAAATAGACCACGTGCTGCTATCAATGAACTACTTTCATGGTTCTTTACACTCTTTTTGAAGACAACAATACCTTGTTCTGAACTTGAAATTATCATTTAAAAGTGCAAAATTTAGACATTTTCTCAACAAATGGTTGTAGAGGGAAGATTAATGCACAGTTTGCGTATTTTTTTGGATTTTTTAAGGCTCTGCTGAATTCTGTAGCTGCGCAGTTCTAAGGAGCATATCAAAAGCATTTTTCTGCAAAAGTATAGATTATATATGCACAACATGCATTCAGTTATGCATATTTATTGTATCTTTATCATAAAGACTTACAATTAGATCAAAATATAATGTATTTTAGCCATTTGAAGAAATGTTTACATTTTGTTCTCTCTGCACTAAAGGTGGCCGTACATCCCCCTTTAAGCATTGGTGATGAAGGATCTATCGTACATGGCAATTCACTAAAAGCAGTAGCAATTTCACGTCTAATTCAGATATTTAAACACAGTCACTTTGCTAGAGTTATCACAGCCAACCCAAAGAAGATGTTTTGCTTCATCATAACATATCCCATATGGTGGACTGTTTCTGCTAGCAGTAAGCAATGTAAGCAGAAATACCCCGTCTTTATTAATTACTTGCACTGAACTGCTTGTCCAGTCACAAACTAATATATGTTCAAGTACATTTACACAGATTCCACGTGGGTCCAACTTTGGTCCATTTGGTGGACCTTCATAGGAAAATCGATAGACACCTTCGTGATCTGTTACTATAACTGCCTGTTTATCCAAATCTGCTACGATGACGTCACCGTTCCAGTTTTCTGTTATGTAAGCCGGATATTTATATAGTGTCGGACTTCCATTCTCAGAATCTTGGATTTCTTGACCCGAAATATCATACCTGACTATTCGGCATCTCTTTTTCTTCCACATTCCAATGACTAAGTCCCTGTTGAGATGGGAATAATGAATGCACCGTGGTCGCCAGCCATTACCTATTTTAAACAAACTTACTTTCGTTTTACAATCTGAAGATAGTTTCCTGATTTCTGACCCTTTGTCAATATAAATCAGGTCGCCTGTTGTGGACACCGTGTACACACCAAGTCCCCAAAAGTCTTCAAGAATTCGGTGAGCTACAGATATCCTGTTTTCATCAATTCTCATCAACAAGAGATTATTTTTATAGTCACTGATCCAAATCAGGTTTGAAGTTACGCAATTAATATGACATACACGATTTATGTCTTTCAGAGGAATCGAAGAAAAAAGAGTTGGTTGGTGCATTATATTTTCTGGCTCGACTTTTATATTTTCGTCTTTGATGGTGAAATCTGCCAGTATCTGGACTATTTCAGTTATGTTAGAATTTTCGTCTGAACACGTTGAACTTAATTTTGATATATTTTTGGGTACACATTTCAGACGTTTAAAAGGTTTCCCAGTCAGAAAAAAAAGAAATTTTACAGGCTTGTTGGCTAACTGGTCGATTTCGTCGCAAAGGTTTTGTAATTTTCTGAAGTGCGTATTGGTCATCACCATTTGCTTACGAAGTATGCTACTGGATTTTCTGGACATAAAAGCACAATCATTGGAAACAAATCTATCCAACAATATTTTTAACCTCTTTCCTTTTTCAAGCATGTACCCGAGTAATTTATTCGACAGGGCGCCACTACTGTTTATATCTTCCTGAGCCCTAATCTTAATCGAAAGATTGAACGGCAGTATCCTATTGCAAATTTTCATGAAGGTTTGTTTGTTTTCTGCTATTTTTCTTTCGACAGCTTCTTGTATATCTATTACAGTATGATTGAAATGATCTGCACATCTATTACATGCCGGCACTTTGCACTCCTCACACCAAAAATTATAAGCCTGTTTTTTATGCAAGACACAGTTTTCAAACATGCTTTCTTGATACGCTGAGGCGTCTTTACAGTTTTGATATCCTTAATTACCCCCAGTATCAAGATAGCGGTGAATTTGCACCTTTCTTTTCTTGCCGGGTTATGAACCTACAGTGGGAAGATGGATATATCGACATTGCATTTTTAAAAAAAACAATTTCCTTTATATTTTCTACAGGTATTATAACTGCAGAGATTCAGTGTCTTCTATTCTGTCTTTCTTTTTTGTCATTTTGCATCGCATGTTGCATTGTGTTCTGTTTAGATCAATAGAAGTCTTGGCTTTAGTGTAAGATTCTTAAATAGAAAAGAAATTCTAACGTTAAGATTTGTGTTTCTTCGATGCATGTATCATTATCAATAGAAATGAGCTTAAATAAGAAATTGATTAACCACTACAACATGAGAAAGTTTTATATACTATACCAGTATGAATCACATGAACCATGCAATTTAAATTAACAATAAAGTAATGATAATCTTATACTTCTACAAATAGATCTTACCTGAAATGTACAAGGATCAAATTTTCAAAACCACTTTGATTTTTGTTAATAAATGCTACTAATAAATTTAAATAATCACACAAACCTTTCTGTTAAGGTCAACACAAATAAAAATCTTCTGGGGAAGCTCTATAATTTTTTAGCAAATTCAGCTCTCCATCCTTTTTCTTCGATTCCCTGAATATTCATTGATCATCACATACAGTCCTATTTTTGTAATAAATTGTCAATTGATAAGTCGGTTTTTAAAGTTTAGAATTTATTGTAAGTCCAAAAATATGAATTTCACAAATACAATTTAAAACAACTGAATTTAACAAAGGATTTCTTAAGATTAAACAAACTGAATTTAACAAAGAATGGTCTAAAAGTGACTCACTTACAAACTCACTCACATCTAATCTTTGACAACTCCTCCCCCTTTCGTACTGACCAGCCAATTAAATTAAGGATAGAAAATTGCAAGAACAGGGGAAATCCGTGTATGACATTAATTTACAACACTGAAATTAGGTAGAGCTAAGCATAACAAATTCAAAGAACACGATCCTAAGATCTAACCATAAAGTTGATAACAAGTATGAGCAAATGACATTGATATCGTGAGGCAGGAAAGAGATGTCAAGAATTAAATATTGGTAACATGTGCAAAAATGCCTTTCCTAAACATCAAATGAGAACAATTAACTTTCAACTACAGATGTGAAACAAGACCGAAAAGTAATAATCAATTATATAAAAATATACATGTATCAATAATTAATAATTTGTCATTTAGAAACCCTTATAACCCATAATCATAACATCCGCCCACAGAAAATAAAATTGTAAAACAATTTTACATGGGGTTAATAAATGCAAATTAATATTTTTTAAAAAAAAAAAAAAAAGAGGATTACACAGAAAAAAAAATAAGCAAATGTCACATACAATTTACAACATGAGTAAAAGCTCAAAATAATGTTCTCGTACTTGCGCTTATCATTAAGCTGTACATTAGAAACATATTAAATTGTAATTGTAAAAATAGGCATAACCTTTAATGACACAAATAATCGAAAAATAATACATGTATCCATCTATCATGTAAGTACCATGGTTTACAAAACAAATAGCATGAAGGAGACATTGATATACAGCAGCTAAAATAATTACTTAGATAAAGGATGACTTCGAAACAGCCACAATCAAACAGTAATTCATAGCAAAGCTAGTAAACATTGCTCTCTCACAGAGTAGGTCACTCAGCTTAATTAAATTATCTCCTCAGCACCACGAGACGAGCTCCTGCAGTTAAATAACTAGAGCAAATTACCTTCTCGGACAAAAATGCTGTGAAACATAATTCACTCCAAATACTAATGATCTCAAAATCCAATCATAAAATCAAAATATCTATACAAGGCGCCAAAATAAAAAATAAATACAAAACAAAATCAACTAACAAGGATGTAAAAAAAATTTACACATAATAATGTACAACATAGGATTTATGGCTCAAGTAATAAAGGGAGGGGGTCTTTTTCGAATAGCTTCCCTGGCTTTGGCGTTCAAATAAGAAGGCGCAACCCAAAACGCATTATCTGCAGGTTCGCCTGCAATCTGGATCAGATACTGCAATCCTTTGGGAGAATATCGCTGACCCAAGATTTTCTTGACTCTGTGAAACCCATCACTGTCAGAAGATGCCGTGTATGTGACAATATTCCGCGGGTCCACATGATTGTCATCCCGGAAACGAAGTGGTTTTTTGATTGTCCGTTGAGGGCGCTTTGGATATGTAACCTCTGGAATGTCCCGTTGTGTCGTAACCACGTCAGTTTGACAGCTTTGGTCTTTCTGTGTGACTTGTCTTGCAGACACAACACTGAAAAAGTCAGGAGTAGGCTCCCGAACAAATGCTTTTTTAACACGATTGATGTGAACAATGTTATCTAGCACTTTGTTGGTAACTGGATCCTTGAGTAACACAGTGTGTGCACTTGGTATATTGTGTACAACATAAGGTCCGGTAAATTGGTTCTGAAGCTTGTGTGCGTTTTCTTTTTGAACAAACACGTAGTCATTCTTCCGTAATGTTAAAGGCCGAAGATTGGTATTGGCATTGCTCAACATTGTGTCTTTAGCTTTCTGTACATTTTCCATTATTTCTGTACGAATGATGTTTATTTTACTTAACTTGTCTCTAAGAAAAGTAGCAATGTCCTTGGGAGCTTCCGTTGGTTCTGTATGATAGTTGACTAGTGGAAACTTTGGTCGACACCCGAATACAATCTCATAGGGAGAATATCCCAGACTAGTGTTCACGGAACAATTAATGGAAAATACAACAGATGATAAGTAATTTTCCCTGTTGCTTTTGTCTGGAGATATATAAGATGTTAGTCTCTCAGCAAGTGTCGCATGTATCCGTTCACAGGCTCCAAGGCAATGATGCGCAAAGGTCGGAGTAAATTGTTGGGCGATATGCAGCATCTTGCAGAGCTCGGACGTAACCTTGGCTATAAATTCACTTCCCTGATCACTGATAACTGTACTACATACTCCATATGTCGTAATAAGCCTGAAAAATGCATGGGCGACTGTCAAGGCATCATTTGATTTGATAGGAAAAGCAACGGAATATTTGCTAAACATGTCAACAGCCGTAAAGATGTAGGAGCTTCCCTGGGTAGATAGGGGTAATGGTCCATACAAATCAATCTCCCAAACTTCAAAAGGCGCGGTTGGTGTGGGATAGGAAGTAACTCCAGGTTAATTACTGGCAAAAAAGTTAATGAAACAGGAATATCAGCAGTCGTCTCAAATAAAGTCATCATTTTTCATAATGCTCTTAGTACGAAAAATATCTAAAACTAGATATTTACAAATATACAAACATTAAAGTGATGAAACAATTAAGGGTATCAATAGTCTCGTTTTATTTTGCATTTTGCAAGTTTAATGGTCGATACAATGACTTCGTCAGCAAAAGCAATATATCATTAATGCTGATCACAACACGAAGAATAAGGAAGGGGTGACCAGTCGACATGGAATGTTTACTTTTATATGGCACCTGATCCCAACTGATAATTTTAAAGGTCCATGTTTTATATATTCGCTCCCGATTAGTATTGTTTTAATTCAACTTTTTGGGCTGGATTATTTTTCGTTATTACATGTATTTCCATATTTCATGCTAGAAGTTTTGCAGCGTTAAATCCTGCAATTAACCTCTTCATGTATCATACAAACCACTTTTCTTTGAAAAATACGTCTTTTCAAACATACTATGAGTAGGAAACGCAGTACGTATGAACAATTTCTAAAACGAGGTAAATTATAGACAAACAAGTTGATGAAACAAGACTATCAGCAGTCTCGTTTAAAGTCATCATTTCGTAAGTGATTTTTCCGTTATTTCCCGATCATGACATGGTCGGCAGGGCATGCTCACTCCTCCATGGCACCTGATCCCACCTCTGATGTTTAGGAGGTCCGTGTTTGTTCTGCTCCTATTTTGTTTTGTTTTATGGACTTTTGATCTTGAATACTGTTCATTATCTCCATATATTTCATATATACTTATTTCGATGAATGAAAAATTATTATATTTGGTGTTAAATGTGTTGGCTTGAAATGTATTTTTTTCTGTTGTAATATTTCTACTAATTTTAAAAATTGACATCAAAATTAATAACAACTAAAAGCTTTATTAACGCTATGTTACCGTTATTTATGAGATATCCGTCACATTTCTCGCCATGGTTGTTGAACTTCACTCTGAATTGTTTCTTTTTACATTTGGAGGACTGCAGGTCAATAGGGGACTGGTTTTCTCCATTACATTCACGCCATGTCACGCCCCATTTTGTGGGTCCTACAAATAGGTTGGTATTCAGTTACGTGTATCTTTTTTTAATACGAGCCTCCCATTCCCACCTGAATACTGTATACAGGGTTATTTTCGCCCCGTCTTATTTTCGCCCTTTTACTCTTGCAAATAATTTTGCCCCGTTTTAAATTCGCCCAGTCATTGATTTGTTTAAGAAATTAAAATGTATTCTTTGAATTCACCCCGTTTTAAATTCGCCCAAATGAGGGTACGGCGAAAGGGGCGAAAATAAAACGGGGCGAAAATTTCCCTGTATACAGTATGTCTTTAATCAAACGCTTTTTTGTCCCATACATATTCACTTGGACAATTGTTACGTTTCTAGATTAAACTGTATACGAGTATTAGTTTACTACGGTGTAAAATGGTTGCCTTTCATCTTAATTAGGACTCAGAAAAAATGGTAAAGGTGATTTTTAAAAATTGAAATAAATCAGAATCGAATATATAGGAAGTTTAAAACGGTTATTGATGGGAGAAAATTTTTCTGAAAAGAATAAAAAAAATATTCATTTGAAGTATACATACCATACAAATGTCCGCCATAAGAAAATTCGTGGTGCCGTGTACATTGGGCACACTCGGTTAAAACATAAACCAAAATCAAAATCTCAAAAATCCTGTTCATTGTTCTTTTGCATTAGCATTAATATTGTTGAACTCATTGCTGTTCATGTGATATTATCGATATTTCCGCGAGATTTGCTCGATATTTCCGCTAGAATTCTCGAACAAAAATAACAACAAAAGGTATTACAAATATTCCGCAATGTTGCTAATAAGTATTAATCGTAATCTTTAAACACAGTTTTTTCTTCTTGCATGATTTGGCTAAATGGAGAGGGAAAATAATGTCTTTTAAGAAGTTAATGAAAATAGCAATCAATATACACATTATATTTACAGTTTTTCTCAATTATTTTGAGCTTGTGCCGCCTGGACATACCATTGCTTACAAAAGCATTAAAAATATTCAAAAAATAAAACATGATCTGTTTATTCTATCGATATAAAATATAATGTTAACTAGATGTGTAAAAAGTCATTGATATATCTTAAACGGTCTTAATATTATGGTGCAGAAGTAGTACAGTGTGAGGGAATATACGCCCAAAGTCAAAATTCCCTTACACTATACTACTTGCAGGACTTTTTGATAACCTCTCGTATTATCTTCATAATTAGATATAACCGATAATTTTTTTTTCAAAGGTGACTTTATAACAGATCTTAACTTCCCTTCTGGAGCTTCTGTTTGTCAATAAGGTTTATGATATATGTTTTCCATGTAAGGATTGTTGTAATAAACTATTAAATCAATCTTATAATTTATTTTTATTGGAAAAGGGTATGTATTATTCTCTACATATTTGCATACCTACTGCTCTCTCCCACTATGAACATGTACTCATCAACTGCGTTCATAGGACTATACACGCAACTGGTTCTGCTATGAGTGCAAGTGCTCTATTGCACTCTTGTACAACAAGCTCTACGACACTTGCAGTAGGTGTTGAGAAGTATATATATGAAATGTTTCGTAAAAGAAATAAATATAAGTTTTTAATATTATTTTTTTGGAAAAAAGAAATTCAGAACAATTTAAAATTGCCGATTGGTATATTTAAAACTTAATTATGGTCAATGTATTTAATTGTAATATAAAACTTTTTAAGAATTGAAGACAACTCCATATTTTTATTTTTTCTTATCATATTTTTGCATATTTGTACAAAGAACGATAACTCTTCACACTTGGGTTATGAAACATTCAGAAAAAATAGTATATGTCTGTTTCAGCTCTTAAAAATGAATAGAAAAAAAACTTTTAAAAATCATAGAAAAGCATTCTGGAGTTATAATCATTATTAAAGCATTCACTTTTTTCCCAATAAGGTTAAATTATTGATTTTTGTCAGAGAATTTCAATAACGTTGATCGATGACGTCACAAGAGGCAAATACTCTATAAATTGTTTGTGATATTAGAGATCCGAAAAGCTGCAATGATGAGATATACTAATTTTTTAGCCGCGTGTTTTTCTTTACTGAAGACAACAAGCCACATCCATATGTAAGCCAGGATTTCCTCTGATATTCTTGACAACATCAAAGAATGCAAATATAAGTAATAAACAACGATTATTTAGTGAACATGGCATTATGAATAGCAATAGCTCTGCTGTCATATTTTCTATGTAATGACGTACTTTTATTGTGTAAGATAATATGTGCCTGTTTCGGATTAAGTGACTTTGAACCAAACGAAGTTTCTTATTAACAATAAGACGTAATAATTTAAAGGATGATGTGCATTTGCTTTGTTAGCATTTCTTTGTGACAACATTGTTTGGTTTCTGTTCAGTTTAGGTATATCACTTGATTGTGATACGACGAAGAAAGATCTTTGCATGAACAATTTATTGAAGAAGACCAAATATTTACAAATAAGTTGATATCAACAGTCCACACTAAAGTCAACATTTCGCAAATGTAATTGTCGATAAAATGACAGTGTTTGCAAGTGCAATATATCGTCAAGTAGAGTCTTGACCCACATTTTCTATACAAAGTGTTAGGCCATTATTTCTCCTTTGAGTCTTCTCTGTTTTATTCCCCTTGCCCAATCATAAGATCGAAGTACATGGCGGGTGACCGATCGGTATGCTTATTCCTCCATGGAACCTGATCCCACCTCTAATGTTTTAATGATCAGTATTAAGTATTTACTCTGCTCTCAATTTGTATTGTTTCAATGGTCTTTTGAGCTCAATTACCGTCTTGCCTCTTTGTATTATTTCTCGATATTAAAAAAACAACTAAATTCTGTAATTACCAATTAAATTCTCATAAGCAATTTCATATCTTCATAATTCACAGTACAATTTTCATTCTAACAAAACTCATTCATTTTTCTTGAATTTTTCACCAATTCTGTTTCAAAATTTGAAATATTTGCTTATTCTGCTGACTCTTTTGGTAATGTCGTTGCTAAACACAATTGCGTAATGTTTTGGAGGTCTGTTTTGCTTTGCTTCTATTTTGTATTGTTTTATGGACTTCTGCGCTTGAATAATGTTTTTAGTATCTCCATAATTTATATTTTATGCATGTATAAGCCGCTTCAGGAGTGCTGATCATGTGAAAGCAACATTAAGCACAGTAAATAAAAATAACATTGGCATACAAAGTTATGCCAATGGAATAATTGTAAAGAAAATTCATTTAAGGTAACAGAAAAACGTTTTAATATTAAGTCTTTGGTGTAATACCATTACTGCGAAATGTTTAAGGATAGTATTTTTGTGAAATCTGTGATGCTGTTTCACAAAGATGTTGAGTTTGCTCCGTGCTTATATAAAACGTTGATTTGAAAATAAAATAAAGATTTACAATAAATTACATAGAATGAAAATCAGACACCAACAAAAAAAAGTATTTTTGCACAAGATAATGTGCTCAATTTAAAGAATGAAGATAATGTTCCACAGATTAACATGGTTCGTAAACTTCCAGAACAACTCTCGTACCTATATCTGATGATGGAAACTATGTTAAAGCATTGGTGATGAAGTTGACAGAAAAAAAAATCTATCTTACATGGAAATCACTCAAAGTTGTAGCCATATCGTGTCTAATTTAGATATTTAAACACAGTCACTTTGCTAGAGTTATCATAGCCTACCCAAAGAAGATGTTTTGCTTCATCATAACATATCCCATATGGCGGACTGTTTCTGCTAGCAGTAAGCAATGTAAGCAAAAATACACCGTCTTTATCAATTATTTGCACTGAACTGCTTGTCCAGTCACTCACTAATATGTGTTCAAGTACATCTACACAGATTCCACGTGGGTCCAACTTTGGTCCATTTGGTGGACCTTCATAGGAAAATCGATAGACACCTTTGTGATCTGTTACTATAACTGCCTGTTTATCCAAATCTGCTACGATGACGTCACCGTTCCTGTTTTCTGTTATGTAAGCCGGATATTTATATAGTGTCGCACTTCCATTCTCAGAATCTTGGATTTCTTGACCCGAAATATCATACCTGACTATTCGGCATCTCTTTTCCTTCCACATTCCAATGACTAAGTCCCTGTTGAAATGGGAATAATGAATG